ATCCCTATCCAGGCCTAATTTTTTCTTAAGGTAACTATTCCTTTTCCCAAATGAGGCCAAGCATTAGAAATGAAGGCTGCTATTTTCTAAGACAGAATTCTCCTTCTGAAAAAAATAGAGTATGCATAGAAATGTGCTTTCCGTGCTAATTTAACTTTTCACAGGGTATTTTGTTAGAGGTCTAGGTGATATAAAGATAATTAAGCACAGTTAAGCACAGAGTCCAACCATTAGAAACTAAGGCTGCTATTTTCTAAGACAATATTCTCCTTCTTAAAAAAAAAAAAATGAGTATGGATAGAAATTTGCTTTCCGTGCTAATTGTTTACAAGGTATTTCTTTAGAGGTCTTCTATACTCACAATAAGTGATATAAAGATAATTAAGTGCAGTTTCCTGGAATCATCTTGTAGACACAATTTCTATTAGGATTAGTACCTGAGATGTAACATCCAAGTTTCTATGGTTAGATTTAATTCTGTCTCCCAAGCATACATCTTAGGATTTGCTTTAGCCCAGCTCTAAGTAACAACCTTAGTCAAAATCAGAGTATCTGTTCTTTAATTTGGCCATTACTTGTGGTAAACATTTGATGGGTAGACCAGGTAGGCAAGCTGTTTCTTCCCCTGCATCAAATGCTGATCCCAGAAATACCTTAAAATTGAAGAGCTTTTCTATCTATTCTAAAGGTGGGTTAAAGGTTTTATTAAGTTTCCTCTAGTTGAAAGAGACAGTATGAAGAACTTCATGAACTTCTTTATCTCAATTCCAAGTAGAATTTTTATACTTCATTTCCCCCCTCTTTTTTCCTTTTAGGATCAGAAATCATCTGAGGTTATCTACACTCCCGAAGAGCTTGTGATTACTGTGTTTGGACTCTTTGTTGCTGGGACAATAACCACAAGCCAGGCCTTGCTCTGCAGCCTCCTAGCAATGGCCAATTTGCCAAATGTTCAAGGTACAGAAATGCCCACAAAAAGATAAAGGTGTCAGGGCTCTTATGGCTTCCACTATTAATTCTACAAAAAAGAAAGGAAGCAAGTTAAGATGCTATTGAGTAAAGTAAGGTCACTGCAGCTGCATTTATGAAGTTCTTTTGAGACTATTATGGAAGTGCTTCACCACTGCCTTCATCCAAAATGGTTTTTTTTTTTTTTAGACTTCCCAGTCTAGCTAACATCCCCTTGGAACAAGCGGATCCGCCACCAAGTCTTGAGATTTCATGAAGAAGCAGTTATTGACAGACAATTCTAGTGAAATGATATCCATTAGATCATGAAGAGGCAGAAGTCATTGAATGCTGTAACGACAGCAATCTTTTTTCCCCATGCAGCCATAGGGCAAATCAGCCAAGTACATTAATTTAGTACTTGCTTTATGGAATCGCTGTAACGACAGCAATCTTTTTTCCCCATGCAGCCATAGGGCAAATCAGCCAAGTACATTAATTTAGTACTTGCTTTATGGAATCCTAGTATGAATGAGCAAGTTTACGAGATTATAGTTTTTCTTGAGGATCATCTGTTGCAACAATATAAATTAACATCCCTTTTAACTCAAGGTATCATCCCTGACATTTTGAACCATG